AAATAAAGCCACACAGCTTCAGGGGAGGCCCCACAGGGACCCGCCACTACACGGCCTGTCACAGAGTCCACAGGAAAGGAGAAAAGCTTGCCTTTCCTGATTGTTAGAGAAGGAAATGAAGGTGCCAAAGGTCAGGAAAGCTGACTTGGTGATTGGCCACAGACGCTCAGGAGAGAGGGAGCCTGATCCATGAAACAGTCTCGGTAAAAGAGAGACTTTTCCCCCGAGCAGAGCCCCAGCACAGCAGTGACTGAGTGAAGTGCAGAAAACTTCTCAGTGCACACTCTTAATGTACACCTCTTAATGTAAACCATCCTCTGATCTTCACGATGAAAAGAACTCAAATCAGCAAAACTTTTCAATCGCCTTGTAACTAATTCTGATTCCCCCTCCAGTAAGAGAGAAATGGTTATTTCTAAGGCCCTCTTAACATATACAAGAAAAGGGCCCAAATTCCTAAGGGACTTGCCAAATATCTATTTCTGAGATGTCATAAGAGTGTAAAAGGGATTCACAATACCTAAAGTTGATGCCTCAGACATGGGTTAATAAATAATTAAGACCACCGAGAATGGGATGAAAATTACTGATAACACTGAATATTTAGTAAATACTAACTATGTGCCAAGGACTGATTTAAGAACTCTACATACACATTATGTCATTTAAATCCAGACATGACCCCATTTTAAAGAGGAAGATCCTAAGGCCTGGAGAGTTAAGTCACTTGCCTAAAACCAGTGGTAGTTAATGGCACAGTTAAAATTAAACCTAAGCAGCTTAAAACTGAGTTTTTAATCACTAAAATAAAGTACTTAAATAAGAATTAATAGAATAGTTTCCATAATAAAACAATTTAAAATAAAAAGAGACATCTAGTATTATGAATTTTTGTTTTGATAAAAACATTGTATGTAAATTTACCAAATCAATGTTTCAATAAGACACCACCATAAAATGAAAAAGGAGCATAACATATTTCAGAAACACGCGATGCAGAATGCTTAGGACAGTATCATTTTTAAAAGCGAAAGACCAGTGATAATGAAGACAAGGCAGTGGCATTTGGAGGCTGAAAGCAATTTGATTTATTTAACTTTGAAGAACAAAAGCTTATTCTTCTAAGACGAAATCAAAACACATTTTCTGTGGAAAAAAGAAACCATTTTAACTCCATTGCCAAAATAAATCAGGCAGGGGGCAAATTAGATCTAGCTACAAAAAAGAACTCAGGCCAAGGAAAAGAATAAGGGCAACTGATTTTGCTTTTTAAAAAGAGAAGGAAAGAGAGAGCGAGAAATCCTGCCCCAGTCTAACTTAGTGTTCTATTTAGAACACTAAGTCTACTTTCTAGTATCAACCACTTAACTAAAAAAAAAATAAAGAAACCTAACCAGTGAGTAGCTATGCATTTGCATTTGAATATCTGAATCGATTCTATAGTAAAACAAGACATTCCAGTAAAAGAACTTGGCTAAAAATCCAAATTTAAACAAAAAAATTTTTCAGGAAAAAATACAACTCTAAAAATTGTATTAGACTGTATAAAAGACACTGTCCTATTATATTCACTGCATTTTAGGGTAAATCGTTCGATTCAGTCCAGAACCACAGATTTGGGCCCAGAAGGAATAATTTCAGGATATCTCTAGTTGGAAAATCAAATCATGTTAAATACCCCAAACATACTCTTTTTGGGGATGACAAATATAAGAAATCTAGCAAGAAAAGTTTTAACGGATACATAAATTTTTTTATATGTCAATGAATATTTCTTTCCCTCCTTTTTCAGAGTCCGTTCTCTGTTGGGGGCCTCAGACATTGTCACTCAACAGGTCCCAACCCCAGCAGGCTCTAAACACGGGACCCGCCTTCCCAGGACCCAGCTGAGTGGTGAAGTCTGTGACTCCAGAAGCCAGGCTGCCTGGGTTGGACTCTATACTCCACCACATTCTTGCTGGTAACTCTAAACAAGTTGCTTAAACTCTCTGTGCATAAGACCATCATCTGCAAAATAGGATACTAACTAGCACCTACCTATTGCTATTGTGAGGGTGAAATCCATTAATACATGGAATATGCCTTTCAAAGCATGCCAGGTACATAGTAAATACTCAGTACACAGTAGGTATTATAATTAAATTACTGCGTGACCCATGAGCATTCATGATATTATCATCTCTACTTTTGAGTTTGAAAATTTCCATAATAAAAATTTTTATTTTTAATTTCAAAATTAATTACTAGTTGAAGGCTTGGAAAATGCAGCCCTTTCTAAGGTCATTTGTGTGCTCACTGCTGATTTGGACAGCACAACACAATAAGACTACCCTCTGTGAAGAGTCAACTACATGCCAGACACTCTCTTGGCACTTGCCTTAATCAATGAATTTAATATCCAGGGCAGTTAAGTACAATTTCCAGGTGGTAAAGCTAGGAAGTGAGCCCAGGTCTTCTGATCAAATTCATTTTTTACAAAATCCTGGTGGATAATTGTGCGCTTTGCAGAGACTGTCAAACAGTAACCCAGTTAGACGTGGTCAGGACTTCAGATGATTCGATCAAATTCCTACATACAAAATTTGGACCAGAAAATCAGCTAAGCAATCCTAATTCTTTTAACCTTCTCAAGTGCCTCTCTGCAGGCAGTAGTGGCCAAAACCAGCCACGGCACATTAGCAAGGCTCTAATAGGGGCTCTAATAAGGCTGAGCCTTACAGAGGATCACCTTGCACCGCCTGCCTGAGGGCGAGCAGTGTCTTCTTGTGCACGGTGGGCTCCATCTCTCAATACATTGCCGGGTTGATGACTCATATGTAGATTGTCATTACAACCCATGCTTTCTTTGAGGCTAACCTGGCTGGGCATTCCTCATCTTGGACTTGAATAGCCAGATGCTTCTCTTCCCAGACAGGCAAGTCCTCATGACTTTAATCAGAATGCTTCTCTAATTCACCCAAGTCACTCACGATTCCAATTCCAACATCTAAGGTACCATCTACTCTGATAAAACTTTCTGCAATGATGGAAATGTTGTGTATCTGCGCTGTCCAATATGGCAGACCCTAGCCATCTGTGGCTACTGAACACTTTAAACGTGCTAGTGCAACTGCAGAACTAAGTTTTTAATTTTAATTAATTTAAATTTAGCCATAGGTGACTAGTGGCTACCGTATCAGACCACAAGGTTCTAGCTCACTGGGGGAATGTCTCCCATTCATGGGTCTAGGGCTACCCCTTCATGAGCATCCTAGGATGATAGAAGAGTATAGCTGGTCTTACAGTCAGAGACCTAGGTTCAAATCAGCTTCTCTTTCCAGCTATGTGACCCTTAACATGTCGCTTACCCTTGCCATTCATTGGTTTCCTCATCTACAAAACTGGGATAATAGTATCCATTCCATTAGATGTTTATAATGGTGACATGTGAGATATGTATCAGTACCCAGAAGACTAGAATACTGAATTGACATTAGATGCTATCACTACTATCTTCATCATCCTCTTCCTAAAATCCTCTTAGTTTCCTTCCCCAAAGCACCAGTAACTAGCTGAGAAGTCAAAGACAAACTTGTCTGCTCTGTTTCTCTCCCTATTCAGCTCCTCAACTCAGGGGAAGGGGCCAGATCTCCCCAAAGGAAAGACTGCAAGAATTAGCCCCGGAAAGCTATCAGAGCCCCTCCATCTTACAGAATTCAGGACCATAACTCTTCCAGATTACTTCCAGAACATTCTCAACCCCTCTGAGCCTGGCAGGTTATCAGAGAAGCTTCACTCAAAAGCCACTTCTCTCCCCAACTCAGCCACACCAACCAAAAAAGAATTAATTTATAATAATCAGCAGCACTAACTGAGGATTTCCTATGTGCCAGGCCCTGGGCTTCACGTGCTATTTCACAGAAATCTCACTGTCACCCCCCAAGGCAGGTAGCATTATCTCATTTTCCAGTGAGGAAAGTGAGGCATAAAAAGCCAAAGTACCTTGCCCAGTTCCCAGTGCTAGTGAGAGCAAACTGGGATTTGAACCTGGCCACCTACTCAAGGGTTCAGCTTCAACCTTGCTATTTCCCTGTACCTTCCAGGGCCCCACCAGTCCACGTCCCATGCCCCTCTTCCCCTTTCTTTGTAAGTGTAACCTCCTCTGCCTTAATGTCCAGCCTCTGATGGTTCCATTGGAGCTTTTGGAGCGTGATCACTCCTGAGTCTTCACACTTGCCTTTTTACATATAATAAGAAACATGAAAGGGATAAATGCTACTCAAGCCAGAACAGAAAGAAAAGAGTAAGATGAAAGCTAAGCCAATATCAAGTTATCACAGACTTTTTTTTTTTTAAGCACTATCTTCCAAAATTAAAATTGTCAAACCAAGAAGGATTCACTTTTGCTTTTAAATTGCTTCAAAATATTTGGTGGAAAGAGTAATATCCCTTTTGGGGGTGTATTTTAGAACTGTGGCACATCAAAGAAAACTGGTTTCCAACTCAAAGGAAAAAGCATTGGTTTGCTTGCTCCAGCCTTTTTCTAATCACAGTTTACCTAGAAATGACGACATGATTGTATTTCATTTGGCCTGCATGGTTTTTTAAAGGAAATTTAATAAGGTGCCAACACTCAAAAACCTGTGGTGGTCTCTCATTTAAAAAATCTAGACTTCCACCTTTTTTTGCATAAGATCTAGCAACACTAAGCGCCTTCTGCCTTCTGATAAGGCAAGCCCTAAGATGAGTTATGTGATTTCTAGTTTGCCACAATCCCCACCACTCCACATTGTCTCATAAGTAATCCTCACTGTCCTGGAGTCACCTGAGTTTGTGGCCTCTTTACACAGAAGTTCTGGACAGACAAGTAATCGTGTTCAGTCCCCTACAGTCCTACCAGTTCCAGAAAAGCACTCTCATTTCCCTGCCAAGTCATGTCTTGGCCACAGACCCCAGGGAGGCTCTCAGTACCTTCTCCCCACCATGCACCACCCCACACCCAATGTCAGCAAACAACTCACCTGCTACTCAGTGTCACTTTGTTCCCTCTTCACAGGTGTCACAGGTACGTCCCCATTGACGCTATCGTTCCCACTAACCGACATCAAACTTCTCCGCTCCTTCTGATTTGACTTGTTTTCCACTTTTGTAACTCTAAACCTAAGGGGGTAAAGAGATTTGACGGGTTGTGCTTTTCCAGTAAACAAGAATTACGAGTGAACCAAAAATTATCCATCTAGAGGATCCCAAACCAACTCAGCCAAAAGTTAGGACAGCAATGAAAAACACCATATTCAATGGAAGGGGCATTCCTATCCAGCAAATCCCACCGTCCCCTGCTGAACCGTCCAGGTGATTTTCACTCAACACATCAGGGACTATGCTGGATATTTTACAGAGCGTGGAAAATGCATTAAAAAACATGGGGACTTGGGACCAGCCCGGTGGCTTAGTGGTTAAGTTCGCACGCTCTGCTTTGGCAGCCTGGCATTTGCAGGTTTGGATCCCGGGCGCAGACCTAAGCACCGCTTATCAAGTCATGCTGAGGCGGCATCCCACATATAAAGTACAGGAAGATGGGCACGGATGTTAGCCCAGGGCCAATCTTCCTTCAGCAAAAAGAGGAGGATTGGCAACAGGTGTTAGCTCAGAGCTAATCTTCCTCACCAAAAAAAAAAAAAAAAAAAAAACCCACATGGGTACTCAACTATTAAACAGCCTCAGAGTTGTGGTTTCTATGGTGACATGAGCTTTAACATCAGTTGTTTTAACCACAGAAGGCTGATTAAAAGCAAAACTAATTTGCAAATCAGACTGATTTAACCAAAATGATCACCAGAGAGCTGTCTTTCTCAAAGTACACCCGTCAGAGAGTCCCATCTCTACACACACACACACACACATAGACACAAAGCCAGAGGAGCCCCAACTATGCATTTATCAGTATCAGTTGGCAGTAGGCTTTTGTGTCTGTTTGGTTTTCGCCTTTTTTTTTTTTAAGCAAATTTGGGTTAATTTTAATTAAGGTTTAAGGAAAAAGTTAAGGAAGTTAAGGAAGAGATTTCATTAAGAATTGAAAGAAGTCAAAGAAAATTTCCTCAATTTGACTGTTTCTCTAGTACATCATCATCAAATCCCTAAAGTCTTTCATAATAGCTTCGCTCTGGTTCTGGCTTTAATTTCCCTTAAAACTATCTAAAATAAATTCTCCTTCTTTGTCCAAAATGAGGTCACCAACCATAAGGAGGAGGGAGACTCTGAGGAAGTGAAACAAGATCAGGGAAGAGCTGTAACCGCTGGCCTATTCTGTCGAACTGTAAGCCTCTTTTTAAGCAACACATGCCAAAACGCAGCCTGTAATAATTAAACACTCGTGGTATTCTACATCCAAAAAATACAGAAGGATTTTGGGCATTTAAAACAGCCATGTTGAATCTGAGTTGAAAATTTCAGCAGATTTTTTTTAAAGCAAACAAAATACGCTTTGTCCAAACAAGCCGCAGGTTCTCATCACATTCCACACTCGTCAACTCCTATGACTCTGCTTCTTAATAAAACGGTGTGGTCAGGAGTTGTGCTGTTCTGCTGTCAGTGGCAAACAGCCCTGCACTCTTCTCCTCGTTGCTTGTGCAACACGACGAAACTCAACTGAATTAAAATAATGATAATAACAGCCAACACTTCTTGAGCACATAATAAGTGCCAAATACTGGTCTAAGACCGTTACGTGAGTCACCCTATCGAGCCTTCACAGCAAATCAGATGAGGTGAGTGTTAATGTCATCTCCATTTTATAGAGGGGGAAACTGAGGCACAGAGAGAGGAAACAGTGTGTAAGTAGTGGTGTCCATGGAGAAGAAAGGATCATGTATGCAGTACTCTCAACTTTCGCTCAGTGCCGCCCAGCCGTGCTCCAATATGCATGCTCTTAACCATTACTTTCCTCTGCCTCTCTAAAGCCTTAGTAACGCAGTTCCCGCATGAGACTCAAAATCAAAACAGGAGACACGGCAGAAGCATTCCACTGCAAAATGCTCTACATATAGTCAAACTGATTCATCACTGCAACTGCAAGCTCTCCACCTCACAAACGTGTCTTCTCCACATCACTTTAGGACTGGGAAGCCCAGGACACAGGAGCGGTGAACTCAAAGAAAGCAGTCACAGGAATCCACCTGGAGCTTATGTGGCAGAGACTGGAGAGCTGTGGACCAGCTCCATCTCTTCTCTTCTTCCCATCACACGGCTGGATGACATTTCCCAGCTCCCTGGCAGTTAGGTGTGGCCAAGTGATTGAGTTCTAGCCAGTAGAATGTGAGCTTCCAGGCCTATCTCATTAAGACCTCTCATGAACAACCCTCCATGGCCTTTCTTGTTCTGCCAGCAAACCTGGCGGAGCCACAAGATGGAAGGGATTTGGGATTCTGGATGACTACTTGAAGAGCCACCCACTGATCTTTTGATTTCCACAAGCAAAATATAAACTTCTATTCTGTGTATAGTTGGGCTTATCTATTAGAGCAAGTGTGATGGTGAATTTTATGTGTCAACTTGACTGGGCTAAGGGATACCCAGATAGCTGGTAAAACATTATTTTTGGGTGTGTCTTTGAGGGTGTTTCCAGAAGCCTCCATAATCTCGTGAGCCAATTCCTATAATAAATCTCCTCTTACATATATCTCTATATATCCTATTGGTTCTGCTGCTCTGGAGAACCCTAAGACAGCAAGTAATTAATTTTTTACCTCATTTAATACACCTGAATCTGATCTAGGACTAGCCACCTCTTAGGATTCTTCCACTGTTGGAAAAATGCAGGACTCAGACCAGAAAACATCTAAAAAGCACAGAGATATGACCTGAGCCAGGCTTAGGAGAACATACTTTGTATTTAACAGGTAAGCACAAACCCACACACCACAGCAGCCGTGTCACACAAACCCAGAGCATCCACAGGGATCTTACCTGCCCACAGAGAGGACGGTGACCTCTCCTTGGCGCCTCGAACGGCCCTCTTTGGACTTGTTGGTGGGTTTTATGAAGTGCCACCGCTTGTGCCTACACCGATGACATACATCCCTCTCGACAGCACCGCCCACTGTGTGCAGATGGTGGCCACAGATGTGCTTCCCTGGGGTGGCCCCCGGCGACAAGGGCCCGGGGCTCAAGGGCGGGCTCCCCGGAGTGCTGGGGGTCACGGGGCTAAGGTGGGAAGAAAAAGGAAAAGGTAGTACTGGTTACTTCAAAGAAACGCCAGCTCAGCAATCTCTCCCCCTGCAAAGCAAGAAGCAGGTTTAAATCAAAAGAAAAAAATGCCTCTTCCAATCACACAAATGGGCCTTGTAAGCTGATCTTAGGCAGCAGGTACGAACTCTTACTGCAATGACAGCTCATTTTAAACAGCAATAATGTGACTGATCACTTCTACAATGGAATTAACTGGCTAGAAATAAACCACCGCTTCTAATGATGCGGCACTGTTTGAATTTAAAGTATTAGGTTCCTTTCTAAATGACTAATCTCCATTCTCACGCAATCACACTAATTTCTCAAACATAGCCAAGTGTCTGCCTAGATCTCTAAGCAAAGAGATGCCCTGAATCTATGTGCCCCAGAGGACTGAGAAACTTAAATTCCAATCAAACGATCCAATGACTTAAGACAGAATACTTGATCCAATCTGACTACTGCATCAAAGGAAGAAAGGTTTTAGGTCAAGATACCAAAGTGATGCTCAAAAGAGATGCTGACAGTGTCGATAACAGTAATAATAAAAATAGCTAACACTGGGGCCAGCCCGGTAGCAAAGCGGTTAAGTTCACGCTCTGGCGGCTCGAGGTTCGCCAGTTTGCATCCTAGGCATGGACCTACGCACTGCTCGTCAAGCCATGCTGAGGCAGCGTCCCACATAGAAGAGCTACAACTCTACAACTGTGTACTGGAGCTTTGGGGAGAAAAAAGAAAAAAGAGGAAGATTGGCAACAGATGTTAGCACAGAGCCAATCTTCCTCAAAAAAACAAATTTTTTTAAAAAACCTAAAAGGTAGGTATTATTAATTTCCTCATTTTAAAAATGAGGACATTGAGGCTCAGAGAAGTTAAGTAACTTGTCCAAGGTCACACAGCTAATAAGTGACGGATCTGAGATCCAAATCTAGACAGTCTAATTCTAGAAACCATGTTCTTAACCACCATGCTGTTGTGCTTCAGAAACAAGGAAGACCACTTTGATAACCGGGAAGAAATCTAGCCATCCAAAATATAAAAAGCAGAAATAAATAGGCCAAAGGTTGGCTACTTTCCAAGGGCATATGTCAAGGCTCTGCTCCACTAGAAAAGGAGGAAATGAAACAGCACAGGGCCAGCGTGACCAGGAATCAGCCCTCTGACGTGGTGTAGGAGGGTAGGTGGGGCAACACGTCAGAGCACAGCCTGACACCTGAGACTGTGCCAAGAGCCCCAAAGGCACATGGAAGTCTTATGACAGCATAAACCAGCTTTTATGCGGCTGACAACCGGCCCAGCTGCACACGAAAAAGTGTAGCTCGTGGCTGAGGAGACAGTCTGAAACATCACAGACAACCGCAAGTTTTCTGGGGCTCTTTAGGGGTGCTGTTTCGATGGTTCAAATAAAAACACACAGCAGCAGCTTTCTGGCGTAAAACACTGTTAAATTAACACCACACGGTAGAAAGTTGAATTCACAAGTTTAACAACATTCATTCCACAAACATTTATCAAACACTTGCTGTGCACAAAACTCAATGAAGGCACTACACGATGAGGCCCAAAGACGCCCGAGGCAAAGATACCATGAACGAACACGGTCCTAATGCCAGCTGTTCGGTCAGAGCCCCTAGGTCTCTATGAACCACATCACCAGAGCTTCCTAAACCGACCTTCCTGCATTTTTGAGTTACTTTACTAAAAATGCAAATCTAACAGCGGGTTTGACAAACACGTTTTAAATATCTAGGACGTGCTGGGGGCACCACGCACAGAGTAAGCAGAAAAAGGTCCAAACTCCTTACCATGTCACTGGGTCCCAAGTCGCCTTCCTTGCCTTCTTGCTACCGTCCCCAGTGCATTCTCTGGCCACCCCAGCCTGACCCTTTCCAGGTGCGTCTCACACTTGCATGATCTAGTGCCTTTTCTCCTGGACTTTCTCTGCCTACAAGCAGCCCCTGCCTCTTGTCTCTGCCTGTCACGTGCCTGATTCAGATGGCACTTCTTCTGTGAACCTTCCCTGACCTCCTGTTGGCCCCACGGAGCCTCCAGAGCATCTGGTCTTTACTTCTCCTACAGCACACTCATGCTCTCCACCATTATGCCTCATACACACGTCTCCGTTCCCCGCTAGACTAAGTCTCCAAGGCAAGGATCTGTGAACACCCAGCTCCAGCACATAATCAGCACACAGCAGGCACTCAATAAATGCTCCTTGTTGAAGAAGTGAAAAATTATACAGAAATAGAATTATCTGTAATTAATTAGGAAGGACGATGATGCTCAACAACCATAACCTAAACTGGTGATACAAAATAGAACTTAGCAGGTGCCCCCCAACCAGCCTCGTTTTTCATTTAATCATCATTGTTCATGGAAGTCTTTCAATGCCCGAGGTACTTTGTATTCCTTATAATAACCCAATGAAGTTGGTACAGTGGTTGTCTCCATTTTATAGAGGCTGGGACTTGAGCACAGAGTGGTCAGTTAACTGGCCCAGGAAAAGGCCATCAGTAAGTGGTGGAGGTAAGACTCAACCCCGGTCCCCAGTTTCAGCGCTGTTACTTCCTCCCATCACTATTCTCCAACACAGCAGTTCTCAGCAAGGGGTGATTTGCCCCCAGGGGACATGGACAATGAGTAGAGACATTTTGGGTTGTCACACACAGTGGGGGAGGGGGACACTGGCGTGTAGCGATTGGAGGCCAGGAATGCTGTTAATATTCTACAGTGCACTGGACAGTCCCCCACAGCAAAGAATTATCTGGCCCAAACGTCAATAGTGACCAAGTTGGAAAACCTGCTCTGGTAGCTAACCAAAAAAAATGTCCCATTAACTGGGAAGAGGAGCACTCACCTTTCAGGATCGCCCACGCTGTTGTCTGCTACCATTGCCTTTAAAACATCAACGTTTGCTAAGAAATAAAAAAAGAAAACAATTAAAATGGAATGAATCAGATGAGTAATCATAGAGTTATTACATCAGAAAAGCTGTTGGAAAAATACCTGAGTTCTTTTATTTCACAGATGAAGCCCTGGCGTCCCAGAGAAGGGAGGGTCTTTCCCAAAGTAACCCCATGGATATGGCACCATCTGCCAATAAATTCCACCACTCAGGAATTTAGTATTAGTGACAGAATCTATGCAAAGAAAGCAGATCTACCATGGAGCTTTGCTTCCTACACATCATTAGCAATATAACAGAAAACTACATTTCTCCCCACCGCCCACCCCGTCCTCCACACCACAGGGAAATTTACATGCTGCTGTTCTCTGTTGCATTCAACTAACTTTGCTAAACAGGTAGTGAAATGTCTTAAGAGATCTGTATCCTAATAACCTATATGTGCCAAAATAGTTACCCTCAACTCTGGATATCCATGTAGTATCAAGTCTATCCCACATATCAGCAGGGATGGGAGAGGGTCAATTTTCCAGGTGGGCCATTTAGCTTAGTTCTGCTTCAGGACCATACAAGACCTGAACTCTTAGCCGGATACCTTAAACTTTCAAGTGTTGGTCACACATCTAAGTTATCTAGTATAGGCTGAGTTAAATTAGACTTCTAATGTAAATTTCTCTTTAAATGCAAATTTAAAAAAAAAGAAAATTACAGGCCAATATCACTGATGAACATCGATGCAAAAATCCTCAATAAAATACTAGCAAATCGCATACAACAATACGTTAAAAAGATTATACACCATGATCAAGTGGGATTTATTCCAGGGATGCAGGGAT